CTGTTATATAAAGGCCCACGACGGCTCTTTATTTCGAATTTCCTTTAAAAATCACTTTTTCTGCTATATAAAGGCCCACGACGGCTCTTTATTTCGAATTTCCTTTAAAACAAAAAAACACTTTTTCGAGCTTTGCTTACAAATCTTTTTTTTTCTGTTATATAAAAGCCCACGATGGCTCTTTATCTCGAGTTTGCCTTTTAAATCACTTTTTTTAGACAAAGGCCCACGACGGCTCTTTATTTCGAATTTCCTTTAAAAATCACTTTTCTGTTATATAAATGCCCACGACGGCTCTTTATTTCGAATTTCCTTTAAAAATCACTTTTCTGTTATATAAATGCCCACGACGGCTCTTTATTTCGAATTCCCTTTAAAAATCACTTTTTCTGCTATATAAAGGCCCACGACGGCTGTTTATTTCGAATTTCCTTTAAAAATCACTTTTTCTGCCCACGACGGCTCTTTATCTCGAATTTCCTTTTAAAATCACTTTTCTGTTATATAAAGGCCCACGACGGCTCTTTATCTCGAATTTCCTTTAAAAATCACCACGACGGCTCTTTATTTCGAATTTCCTTTAAGAATCACTTTTGTTAGATAAAGGCCCACGACGGCTCTTCATTTCGGGTTTTACATAAAAATCACTTTCTTACACTCACCGATATTTTACTATTTTCCTCTGGTGATTTCTCCTACGTTCTGCTTACTGTGACCGCTCCTGCTTGTTTGGCCGCTCTGCACCGACTAATCTCGAGCGCGGCTTGGCTCTCCCTTTTCTACACTCGGTCGCGAATTCCAGGAAGCTTCCAGTCGCCTTCCCGACGTCGAACCTCTGCCGCCTCGCCGACCACGTGGTCTCTCTGCTAACGGGAACTTGTTTACGAACATAGTGTCAAGGTTAACAGGACCATGTTTACATCCTCATTATAACTTACTTTCAACTAAGCATTTCGGACACAACTGTACTTCTCTATTCTTGTCCCAACTTATGCATTAAAATACTTTAGCGATCTTAATTCTTATATTTATAATTATTATTATTACCAAGGAACAAAATTCAATTCAATAAAAAAATATAATTAAAAAAAAGAATATATATATATATATATATATAAATAAAAGTAACAAAAAAATTCAAAATAACAAAAAATTCAAATTAACAAAAAAAATTCAAATTGTTGCTTCTTGGTGGAGCATCACCCTGATACGACTCCAGGGAAGACGTGTCAAATGAGATCACCGAGGAGGGTGATCGCAGGGATGAAGGAGACGTCGAGGCGGATGATGATGTCGAGGCTGGGGATGACGTCGAGGAGGAGGATGACGTCGACGATGATGTCGAGGACGAAGCCGTCGAGCTGACATATATGGGAGATCTCTGTCCCCGCGCCCAAGGGTCAGCGAAAGCCAGGCGTTGGCCATATTTTCGTCCGCCTCTGACGACGACGCGCTGTCGGTCATGACCAGCGGTTCCTCCATAAAACGCGGCCCCACAGCTTCCGGGGAGATGTTAGGGGTAGGGCAGCTTGGGGTACCCTGCGTACGTCTCGGCGTTGTTCGGGGCTCGCTGTCGTCGCTCGACAGCGTTATGACCTCTTCGTCGGAGCTAGGAACGATCACGTCTGCTCCGATATTGGTGAAGTGATCGGGCAGTAGGGCTTCCGAACCCGTGGTATCCCATCGCTCTGGGTCAGCACCACTCTGCATGGTCGGGTCATGTACACCGCCATCTCTTCCGACGTCAGCCTCTCCACGGTCACCCAACACCGCCGGACCACCCCTGTTGTCACATCGACCTCTCGGGGTTTTATCGCTCTGAGATATACCCGTGGTACATGCCATTCCAGCTGGCGGTACAGTGCGGTGGCCAATATCCCCAGGCTACGAAAAAATGAAAAGAAAAAAAGGGATTACAATGGAAAAGCTGAAAGACAAAATTTACTTTTGGAACGAGTCCCGGTTAGTAGCTACAAATGACTTAAGTTCACTCAGATGCGCGTTACGACAGGCATGAGCACGCGAATCCCGAACGCGAACTATTACGGGCGAAGGAAAACTGAGGACTTTGGTATGGACCATCATACTTTGGTGCCAACTTCGCTGCAAAACTTTCCACCGCTTTCGACAACGGGTGCTGCCTCACCAAAACCAAATCTCCTATCCTTGGTTTCCATGGTCTTCTGCGTAGGTTATAATGTCTGCGTTGGTCCTCGGGTGACATACCCAGATGGTGCCGGACTATCTCTATATATAAAAATGAATTGCTGTTCGTTAGTGTCGCTAAAACTCGAGAACGGCTGAATGGATTTGTCTTATCTTAGTCTTGAAATGTTCGTGGAGCTTCAGGGAAGGTTTAAAAGGTAAGAAAATTTTAAAAATCGCGAAAAATTTGCAAAAAAAAAAATATGAAGCATATTTGCATTTCCACGAATTTAGTATCGAACTATTTTGACTGCACCACGTCTTACATGTTATTTTGAGATATTTTGGGCGAATATTGGCCGCGTATCATTCCTTTAAGACTACATTTGTCAATTATTGAAAATTTTTCAAAATATTTTATTATTTTTTTCAATTGGATTGACATTGTATTGAAACTATTTTATGTGAGAATACCTAACAAATTGAAAAGTATATCATTGAATTTACACGCGATCATTGTATGTACACGTTTTCAATAGAATACACGTAAATGTTGGGGCAAATGCTAGGATGTAAAATCAAAAGACATTCTGAATGGAGATCGTGTCAATTCAGGGAATTTGCTTAAAAATAATAATAATAGTTCCATAGGAACAAGTTTTTCTTTAAAGTACCAAATCAGTTGGTACCATTTCATAGTGGTTATATGCCTAATCATTTGTCAATATTTTTGAACTTATAAACAGAGCACCTCGCATATATCCGACACAAAAAATGTGTATCACAGAGAAAACTAATATACAAGATTTTTTTTTGCTAAAATCTATCATTAAGCACAACTGGAAAGATAACAATTAATGAAAAACCAGTAATATTTAACAACAATGGGTCTCATGAGTCTTATGATGTTACCTATTCAGGTAATTATGGCGTATTTCTAAAACGTTAAGCATAATTTCTGGGATGATTTTATTTATTCACAGGAATCTGTTATGCCTTATAGCCAACTCTATGAAAAAATTAGGTTTTTATTCAGAATACCGAAAATGGGGCGGGACCAGTATGTAGGAGCTATATCAAAACTTGGACCTAAATAGAGATTTTTTTGCAAAAATGTTTCATACCCCCCAATATACCGGAATGACATATTGCAGCTACTACAATGGAAATGAAGATATATTACTTTTGGTGATAATTTTTATTGATAATTTTTGTAATAATATTTTGTACTCAATTGCATATGGGGGCTACCTCACAAAAGTGGGCCAATATTGATAATTAATTTATTTTGCTACCAAATAAAATAACCAAACAACGAACTACAGCTGATTAGGCTAAAAAAACATGCCCAAATCCCCAAAGAATTGTATAATGTGGAGGCTTTTGGGAAGCTTGGTCAAATTATGTTAGGAACATTTTGTACTCAATGATATCCAAAATATAAAATTAAGCCAAATATTAATGAATATTAATGCCATGTACAGAGGAGCGTCGTTCGCTCTCTCATTCGTTGTTCGACCCCTAATTATGAAGTAATTACATAGTTCCCCATACAAAATTGTCTGAGCTAACACCGACTTTTGTACGTTGTTCAATTCGAATCAGTCTCTGAATAATCAAGAATTTTGTCCCATCCCTAACAAATGAGAGAATTTATCGAAAATAAATTAATTTTGACAGCATGAAAATATTTATAAAATTTTCAAACTTTTTCAGTAAAATTGAAAATGATGAATGAAAAGTAAAAAATTTTATAGTTTTTATATATGTAGAAGGAAGTAAATTTTGTAATATACATAATGCAATATGCATTTCTTTCCCATTTGTTCTAATTTGCGTACAAAACGAGAAACAAATGTGGAGAAACCCAAACAAAAATTCTCCAATTTTTTATTTACATATACATATGTATGTGACATTAGAATTGAGAAAATTCGAAAATATATTTAAAACCACAATATTTTCAGAAAAAATGGAAAACATGAATTAAAAGTAAATAGATATGGGTTCATACTATAGTCAGGAGAAAGATAATTATTTTTTCTATTTAGATCCATGTGTGATTCACGTGAATATGTTACAATTTTTGTGTAAAACAAGAAACCAAAAGTTTGAAATAAAAAACTCTGATGACATGAATTAAGAATAGTGTCCTATGAACGGATTAATTCATGTACGTAATTCTGAGAGCGAACTACGTTGTTCGAATGCCCGTCAGAACATGGCATAAGGGATGGCGTTATTAGGGGGAGACCCTGACACAATTCTGTTGAAAAAATCGTAAAAATGCCTCATATTACAAAATACCGTATTAGGGGGGCTACCGTTAAAAGAGAACCCATATGGAACATTTTAAATACCAAATAGCCTAGGAGTAGTAATGTATGTGCAAATTTCAAAGCTCTCTCTTAAAGTGGATAGTATAAAAAGCTAACTTAATATTGGGCTACCGTTAAGAGGAAGTCATATAAATCTATTGGGAAAATATAATTAACTTCCAAAGTCAAACTTATATGCGCATTTAAATTTATTAAAATAATTTTTTTCCACGAATTTGAATATTAATAAATTTGTATGAACCGAAACTTTAGAATGCAAAAATAGAACAAATATTACTAAGATCTGTACACCCTACTTTATGGTGGAGGGTGTAAAAAGAAATCTAAGATTCCGAAAATTATAAATCAACAATATTGCAAGGCAAGACAACGTTTGCCGGGCCCGCTAGTCTTGTATATTTCTTGAAACTCCTTAGCTTTGCTCTCCGGGTTATACTTTGCTGTACCGGCGGGTAAACGGGGTTCTCGGCCCTGGACTAAATATGCTGGACTATAGCCGGTTGATTCCAAGTACTCGTATTAAGGGATATGTGTCGCATAAGGTTCTGCATATGGAGCGAGTAGTTCTTGAAGGTTTCTCTGGGCTTCTGCCGTCTCCTCCGTATCTCTTCATCTAAGTGATACGGAGGAGACCGCACAGGTAAGTAAAACGTGTCGGAAGCTCTCCCATGTGCTCCAATGTATATTATTATTTCTGTACCATACCAAGGCTTCCTCTCTAAGTAGTTCGGGCATCACGGCTGGCAGAAAATTCCTCTCCAAGGCGTACATGGTCGTAAATTCCTCTATTCTCTTGATAAAGTCCCAAGGCTCGGAGTCACCATCGTAAGTTACATTCCACTTCCTTACTTGTTCTGCAGTGACTTTCATCGAGACTGCTACTTGGATCGAACGGGTATTTTCAGTTACACATTAATGGGGATCACCGAGTACCCTTTCCCTGCTAGATGTAGCACATTCTCCACAGAATTTGGCATCCTCTATGTTCCGGTTATTCTGGTTTTCCATTTCTCGCTCGATCTTCTCTGGTGTAATCAGATTACCCTCCTCGTTTGTCAACGTTATCTTGGGTGGGTACTGTACCAGTAATATCTCGATCATATTCTCTCAAATATGTTACCAGCTCCTCCTTCCGTAGACTGTATGCCCACGATACCCTTAGCATGGTCTCCATGCGTTGTACTTCTGAATTTGAAACTTTTATTTTTATAAACTGTTTATTTCAACTCTCAGGTCCCGGCTCGGGTGATAGATACCAAGCAAAGGCTCTGATTTGCTTTAACATGGCGAAGTCCAGGCTTATCTTGGTCCCTCTTTCATCTCAATTGTGGACACTGACCTCCACGCGCTGCCACCTGGGGAGCTATTCTCATCACCCGATGAAATAGTGAGCTAATATGTGCCGCGAGTTCACCCATAAGAACTATAAAAAAATGGGCTGAGGCGTCGGGTTAGTTGCCCACTCTCGGAAAACCCAACCTACTATGAAAAAGCAAAGAAAAAGAAAGCCAAATCCCCCTAATGTTTACGACCCCCGCAAATGTCTAAAGGACCACGATCTGCGAATCTGCACTTGGAATGTGCGCACGTTGTACAGAACAGGGGCAGTGTTCGCTTTGGCGGATATACTCAAGAAGTACAAAGCCGATATTATTGCCTTACAGGAAATGCGATGGAAAGGGACAGGCGTAAGTAAATCAGACGATTACGCCCTGTATTATAGCTGCCATGAAACGAGACATGCATTTGGCTGCGGATTTATCGTTAACAGGAGAATAAAAGACCTTGTCTCCAGATTCACTCCAGTAGATGAGCGAATTGCTATAATCCGTATAAAAGCGAAGTTTTTTTACATCAGTCTAATTTGCGCCCATGCTCCGACCGAAGATAAAGATGAACAGACCAAAGACATATTTTACGAGCGCCTAGAAACAGCATATGACCGTTGCCCTGGCCTGACATTAAAATTCTGCTAGGAGATTTTAATGCAAAAATTGGAAGGGAAAATATCTTTGGCCCCACCGTCGGAAAATTCAGTCTTCATGAAGAAACATCCGACAACATGGTAGTTAGCAGCACCAGATTCAAGCATCTCGATATACACAAGGCCACCAGGACTTCTCCTGATCAAGTAACGAGAAATCAAATTGATCATTTTGTGATAGACGGAAGGCATTCATCCAGTGTTTTAGACGTCCGATCGATCCGAGGAGCTAATATCGATTCGGACCATTACCTTGTGGCAGCCAAGGTACGCACCCGTCTTAATGTTGCAGCAAAGGTGCGATCTAATACAACACGGAAACTCGACGTCGAAAAGCTGCAAACACAACAGGTAGCCGAGGCCTACTCCGCTCAACTTACCCATCTGCTTGAAGAAAGCACTTCTTGTCCCGATAATAGTATAGAAGCACAATGGCAAAGAATTGCCCACTCCCTACAAACTGCAGCAAAAAGAACAATTGGGTACCAAAAACCACCACCAAGAAACCCATGGTACGATCAGGAGTGTCGTATTGCTACTGATGTGAAAAACGCAGCGTATAGGGCAACCCTGCAGACAGTAGCAACACGTAACGTGATGGAGAATTATCGGGAGAAAAGGAGGGAGGAGATGTACAGGAATCAGAATGAAGTCCGGAAATTTTACCAACGAGTAAAACACCAAACCGAAGGCTTTGGTGCAGGCACAT